ATAAAGATAAAATCTATCCAAATAATCGAAACTCACCGATCTTTCTGCATTGTAGCATACAATCGGTCGAGATATTTCGTAGCCGCGTCCACTTTCCAGACGTTGCCTTTCAGGTCCTAAATTAAATTTGAGCCTAAAAACGGAAACGAGTGTTCTTACATCTCGAGCCAGCCGTTTCGTCCGTTCCACCAATCTTTGGAAGGAGAGCTCGTCGGTGGAGAGCATCCCCATCTTCTAAAACAACAATAAAGTATACGATTAGATTGTTAAATACGCACGTATATGATAATTTATAATATAGTGAATGTAAAACTGTAAGAAATCAAGAAAATTTGGCAAGCAAAACCTTCTCAAAAATTTTCACGAGCTTTTCATCAGAAATATTTATCACCTATCAACGAGCAACAAAAACAGAGCAAGGCCTAATGAGTAAGAAATAAAGCACCCGTATTTTAGAAAAAAAATAGAATGGAGCAAAAAGGTACAATCGAATCACAAAAAGTAAACGAGAATGGCAACGAATCAAGCGGTATTTTTGGTTTCCGGAAATTCATTTGTGTTGATGTCGTGGTCAACGAAGCTCTGGTCGAGCTTGTACCATTTGCCATTCACGCCGACGTCGTAGATGTTCTGGACGAATTCGTTCGGGAACCATAATCTAAAAACGGGAACTATGAATGGGTTTCCGAGGCTCAGACCTTAGGCTTTTGTCCTGCGAAGCGTACGCCTTGACCTTGTCGTCGTGCGGCGATTTGACAATCAGGGAGAAGAACCTAAACGGAATTTTAAAAAACAATTCGTAGCACAAACCAAAAATTGTAGTAATGCAATCGACCCTGATTCAGCAGCTGCGTTCGTTCAAACAGCGCCCTGTCCGCTTCAGGGTTGTGGATCTGGAATTTATATTTACAAGTATTAGGCCAAAAAATTACCGAATTCGGGACGAGCACCAATTTATGCCTTCTGGCGACGAGCTCGTCGTGGAACTCGAGCTCGGTGGGCGTCGTCTTATAAAGGTAGCCGAGGCCGGCCAGTCCCGAAAGTATTGCTGCTGTCTAAAACACCAAAATAAGGTAATTTCAAGAACAAACCTTCAACGGTTTGTCGCGCCCTTCTTTTGCTGCATCGACGGTGACGGTTCTGGAATGGAAAAATAACTCCTTTTGTCATCACGACGCTATAACTTGATATCACTTCGCCTGAATATAAACGAAAGCAAAATATCAATAATTAGCCCTCAAAAACGATCGAAAATTTGCAAATCCCAACTTGTAATCGTGCCACACGTTCAGCGAGTACTCCTTCATGGCTCGCCCTGCCCTTCGTATCAACGCCATGTCGGCTAGAAATATATAAAAATCGAGTTTTTTATAAATAAGCAGATTCCAGAATGTGAATGCAATGTATAAAAACGAGGATCCGCTCTGTTCTCTTGATATCCACCAGTTGCTACTGCAATTTTTCTTGCACTACTATCAACAATAAGATAAATAAGTTTATACAGAGCGCAAAATCCAATTAAAACGGGAGCTCAACACATTCCGCAGTGATACACACGTAGTCAGGGGATCGCAAGAGGCCCACCGGTCGAGACAATCGTATTTTATAAATCAACAGTTTGGCATCACAATTCTTAAACAGCTTATTCGGTCGGGGTGGAAGAGCGAGCCAATGCCGGGTGAGAAAAGGTGGATCTACGAAAAACAAAACAGGGGGAAATGTGAAAATGGTGGGGGGATGGAATCGATTAAAGACGGGCGGCCTCGGCCTCCTTCTCCCGCTCCTCGTGCTCCTTGATGAGGACGGCGACCTCGGCGCGGCTCAGCTCTTCGACGACCGTCTTCCCGTCCTTGCGCGTCAGAATGGCCATCTCGACTGAAAAAGGAGCATGGTAAATGCGTAAAGAGAGTAGGAGAAAAGGCGGTTCTTTAGGATTTCTGGTGGGGCTCTTAATATTCCTTTCAATAAAATTTCACTATATTTCGCATGGCAAAACTATCTAAAAACGACAAAAATTGAAATTTTCGTAGAAAAAAGGTAATTCTGTATTTTTAACAATTTTTTCCAAACTTTTTCAAAAAATCAAATCCGCCCCCCAAAAATACTAAAGAACCGAAAACCTTTAAAAAATATGATAAACTCACTCTTGTCCGACGACACCTTGACATCCAGCGTCTTCCATAGCACCTTCATCGCCAGCACCTTGGCCTCGGCGAGCGTCGGCTCCTTGTATTCTTGCTTGAGCAGGGAGACGGCAGCCTAATAAAATAAAGTTTCAAAAATAAAGATCAAACATACCTGATGATTATTTCCGATGCACGTCGCCCGCCAGCCGGTGTAGTTGCCAGAGGGGTCGGACTGGTAGAGCTGGAAGCCGTAGTGCTTGTCCCATCCGATGTAGAGCAGCGAGACGCCGAAGGGGCGTTTGCCTAAAAATGTTGTTTTTGCAAGGTACCCAGAAAATTTCGGACCTCCAACTTGTGTGTAGCGCTGCTTCTCGTTGCAGAGATTCTTGACAAGCTGCTCGACGGGGATGTCCTCGCCGTATTGTAGCTAAAAATTGTTTTTAAAACAAATTGAAAAGCCTCCACGGTTTTTTTAAACTAGCGAATAGGCTTGCACAGATTTCGCAAAATCGCAATTCGGTCTATCGCAGAAAGCTATGACAAAGAGTGTTTTTTTTTCGAAAAGCAACCTTGAAAAATTTAAAAGAAAAAGAAATTCTTGTCCTAAAACCATTTTATACCTTGTAACTGGCCGCCCAGAAACGCAAGTGGTTGATGAGAATGTTCGCGTCGGCCGTGATCCCGGCAACCGTGCAGGCAATGTTGTCGCTCAGGCGGTAGATCTTCTCAGATAGCACCTAAACAAATCTATTATTCGTAACAGTTTCTATCACTAAACTCAAGTAATAAAATTTACCGTATCATCCAACAGCTTGTGCACGTTGCGCTTCTCGGCGGCGATCAGAATCCCGTCCTTGGCCAGGATTCCGAGGCAAGTTCCTGCGTGCGAGATGGCCTCCATCGCGTATTCCACCTAAAACTAGGATTTGTTTCAATTTCTAGCATTACCTGATAAAGACGGCCTTCCGGCGAGAAGATGGTCGTTCTGGAGTCATAACGGCGAGCCTAAAAAAAGTTTGTAGGAAAAGCAATAAAATTTACCATTTCGACGCGTCAGTGAGGGTCTGTTGGCGATGCGGACGCTTTCCTGAAAAAGGGCTATTAGATTAGCACGTAAGATACATTGAAAAAGTAAGAAAAGAGAACAAAAACATTCGAGAACAAAATTTGGAAGCAAATTTTCAAGCGAGGAAAAATGGAGAAAAGATGACCAGCGGTCGTTGGAAGCGGACAGGGTTGGCGCGTTTTTTGTATCCCGCCGGAATTCGAGACGTACGAGCGCGAATTATATAGTTTTCATATTAAAAATGAAAGCAAAAAACTAATAAGTTCACTGAAAGAATCCTACTATATATAAAAAAATAGTGTCTGTGTGTGTGTGTCTTGTGCCCTTTGCATCCCTCCGTCTGTCTGTCCGGAGGATATCTTGCTAGGGGCTGAATTTTAAGGTATGTATGATACGTCATTAGGTGCGTAATGGTCTGGAGAAGACTGCACGCATATGAGATTTAACAAAATTACCCATTTTCGACATAAAATTTAAGTTTTTGTGAAAACCTCTTTGTTAAGAACAATTAGCATAGACCGGAAATGGAGATTCGCCTATATAAAGGGACAGGCGAGGTGTTTTTCATTTTTGTCATCTGAATTTAGGACAATTAGATGCAAAGTGAAGGATAAAATGGGGTCAGTCGCGGCCAGGGTTGAAAAGTCGCGAAGCGACTTTTCAACCCTGGTCTGGGGAGAAAAAAACGTATACTTCTAGGTACTGGACTGTTAGCAGGGGGAACTAATTTTCCCAGTAATCTCATACGGCCCTGTAATGAACAATACACCATTTTTTTTTACCATTTATTTACCATAATTTACCATTTTACATCGTTTTTAGATCTTAAAAACATATTACAAACTATAAAAAATTGCATTTTGGTCAAATGACATGAAAACACACATGAAAAATGACCAAAAAAAGTAAAAATGTTCAAAATTTCGAATTTGTAAAACTATTTTTAGAACTGTCAAGCTATGAAAAGCTACTAAAGCACTATAAAATACATATATTCTGGACAGGTATAGACGAAAAGATAAAAATATGTTTCCCCGCTGCTAACAGTGCAGTACCGATTCATATCCCCAAAAATTGCGTGAGACGAGAAGCGGATCCATTACATTTTTCTTCTAGAAAAAAGTGAATAAAAGGCTAGTCCCCGAAAAACTCCACACACCATCCTTCATTTCTTCTATCCCCTATCACTGATGTTCCATCGGCCGAAAATTATGCCGGGCGTCCGGCATAAACAATGCGCAAGATCTGGGCCAAGGATATCGCGCTGATACCAGCCGCGGCACCATTTGTCCCGGTGATCCCCATTCATTCGTCTAACATCAGCGATGAGGGTTGTCGTCGCCTTGATGCTCGCACAATCTGGTAAGTATTTGACGCCGATGGCATTACAGTTCTAGCCGATACCTATCTTTTTTACAAGTAAAAGTCTATAAAAATTGAATTTTTGTTCCAAAATTTATCGGAAAGGCCCCAGAAGTATGACCATTCTTCATTTTAACCTATTTTGGAACCCCTTAGCAATCGGAAACCGCTAAAAAAGTAGAAAAATGCGCTTTTTCTGAAAAATCGATGTTAGGCTGCGTAAAGAGTTAGTTTCCGCCCTGCTAATCCCCCCCCCCCGAAAACGCACCAATACCACAAATTTCTAGTGCTCGCCTTCGACATACAATCGCTGCTGGGGAGAAGCCGGGAAAGCGCCGCTAGTGCACGTAAGTTCGAATATCAGGAGAAGCTACAGGAATTGGCATGACCCTAAAAACCCTAATTTTCTAGCCTCCCCGCTCTCCATGCTGAGCTTGCTAGGTGCGATGGCGGGCGGGGGTTCATCGCGCGCAGACGACGATTTCGGGATCTTCGGTCCACCCCCGACCACTACAACGACAACCCAATCCCCAGACCAGCGCAACCAAAACAAGGTCATGCTACTGATGAAGAAGCTGCTCGAGATCTTCGAGAAGCTCAGCGTCAGCCTGGATGATAGTAAGTTCTTACGGGACTCATAAGCTTCAAAAAAAAGTTAGAAAAAAGGCAACCATCTATTTCTAGACAAAACCATGGGCGCGACACTAAAGGAGCACGAGCCAGAGGTTGTACGCCTCATGAAGTGGGCCGTGCTGATGTCGGTGAAACGCGCTGCCGACAGAATCGTGCACGGCGAATGGCCGTCACGACTTGAAGACGTTCAGGTCAGTGCTTGGCTCAGAGCTAATACCGAAAAATGATAGGGACCAGCTAGAACTGCATTCTAGATCGACTTCGAGCTGCCTGCCAAGGATTCTAATGGCTATTGTGGGTGCATGGACGTCACTTCGGTTGAGGTAAGGGTAGATAATTTGCTATCAAATCAGGAAATTCATAATGCCGTAATTTCAACATATCGAAATTTATGATGAACAAATCGCTCATAAAATGCCAAAAAGTTCGAAAACGTCAATTTTGATATTTCTAAAAAATAAGCTAGGGGCGTGCTCATGCTCATCCACGATTTCGAGACAATTTTTAGCGTTAAAGCGCATCTTCTAACCATCACCAAAACCTCCAAAAGTTATCAAATATTTATTGTGACAAGTTCAAACAAGCAAAACAAGTTAGGGACGTCGAAATGTGTGTTTGTGCAAATGGGAGGGGGACATAAGTAGAGGGGGGACATGAAATTGTGGAAATGGTGGAACGTAGAGGTAGGGAAGTTGAAAACAACATTTTGAATTTCGAAAATGGGCCAAATCGGCTACCCACCATTACTTCTAAAATCATTACTTCTAAAATCATTACTTTAAATCATTACTTAAAAGTCATTACTTTAAAAGCCATTACTTCAAAATCATTACTCAAAGTCATTATTTAAAGTCATTACTTCAAAACCATTACTTCTAAAAGTCGTTACTTCTAAAATTCTAAGCTTCGTTTTGGGCATAAATATGGCCAAGCGTGCCGAAAAACTGGTAATCCGGCGTACCAAATTTTAGAAGTAACGTTTTTAGAAGTAATGATTTTTAGAAGTAATGACTTTTAGAAGTAATGACTTTTAGAAGTAATGACTTTTAGAAGTAATGATTTTGGAAGTAATGACTTTTAGAAGTAATGATTTTAGAAGTAATGATTTTAGAAGTAATGGTTTTAGAAGTAATGATCGTACCCCGGCCAAATCTAGTAGATGATCTAGGGGGTTAGCGGGCGGGGGGTACTTTGGCGGCGTCGCGGCGAGCGTTCGGAAGACGTCGGCACTTTTCCTTGACGGTTGGCGTGACGAGAATCGGCTCCTCGGCCTTTCGCCTCCTTCCGTTCGATTCGGTCATCGAGGAGGTCTAAAAAGACGGGTTAAATTGTTAGTAGAAAGAGGCGAACACGTTCACTTCACCGATTTTTTATAAATAGAAGCGGTGTTTCCACACCATTTTTTTTACTATTACTAAACGTAAATAATTTTATAAATTTTGGCTAAACAAACGCAAAAAAGGTATTGATTGGTCGAGCAAAATTTCGAATAAGGTAATAAAGGTATTAGAATTGTTTTGCCATTGAAAATAAATTGGCCAATATAAACTGTAATCGGTGCAATGAAAATCGCCGAAAACGTAAAACCCACCGGAAATTCCGTTCGAACCGAGCATGGGGGCGGGCCGCCGCGCCAGCGCTGCATGATCACGAGCGCGTCGACCTTCTCCTTGGTGTCGCTGTCGAACCAGGGGTGGTTTAGGGCCTTCGCGGCGGTGATTCGCTAAAACACATCAACTTGACGGACCCAGAATTTTATTACCTTCTTCGGGTCGACGACGATCATCTCCTCAATGAGCGCGCGCGCCTGCGTGGATATTGTGTCCCAGCGCTTGTCGAAGATTAGACGGCCTAAAAATCAGGAAATTAGTCTTCGTAAATCGGGCTCACCACTGGCCACCTGCTGCTCCAAGTCCATGTCCGGATACGTCTCGCAGAAGGCCGGATACCCGGAGAGCATCAGGAAAACGGTGACGCCGAGGGACCACCTGAAGGGGTGTTTGGGCGGGAGATGAACAACAAAACGAACACGTCCACGGCCGAAGTGTAGGGCACGTTTTCGTTGTGGCGCACTTCGGGGGCGATGTAGGCAGGGGTGCCGACGTAGGTGCTCATCACGCTCTGTTTGCGATAACACTTGGCCAATCCGAAGTCGCAGAGCTAGAAAAAAAGTTGTAGCAGTTCAGTACCATAAAAAGCCCTACCTTGACAAGCGTGTAATCCTCGTCCGTCTGCAGCATGATGTTTTCGGGCTTTATGTCGCGATGCGTGATCATGCGACTGTCGAGGTACTAAAAAACTGAAGAGTCTGGCCAGATCCATACCTTCAACGCCTCGAGCAGCTGACAGGTGTAGTACTTCCCGAGCGGCTCGTCCAATCCGGTGAGCTAAAAAGAGAAATCATCAGCAAAAAAACGGCCGAAATACCTGGCCATCGTCGTCGACCTTGGCGCTGATCTTGTAGAAGAGGTCGCCGCCGGCCGAGTACTCGAGAATTATGTACGAGCGGAAGTTGTCCTCGTAGAAGTCGAGGAATCCCATGCAGAACGGCTGAAAGGAAATTTGGCCTTTTCGGGATTTCGAATGTGTGTATTTTCGCGTTTTCCCCCATCCGAAACAAAAAGGTCTTCAAAAATCCCTTACGTTATTGAGCGTGCACATCAGCCTCACCTCGCGCGCGACCTCGGAGTTTGCCTGTTGCTGTTGCGATTTCCTAAAGCAGAAAAATCGACAACAATACAAAATATCGCTTACGAAACTTTGATATGCTTCTCGAGAACCTTGATGGCGACACGGCGGCAAGTCGGGGTGCGCTTGAAGCCGAATAAGACCCAAAACTCCGGTTTTCGATTTGAAAAAGACATTTACCTTTGAGAAGCCGCCGGTGCCAATAACGTACGACGAGATGGTGTACTTTTCTGTTAGTGCCAGGGGGTAGATTGCCGGCTGGTCCTCGTCGTAACACCAGACTAAAGAAAAGCTTGATTTCATAGGCGGTGCCAAAAAACATCTCCATATCTCCAGAGAGAAGGCTCAGATCGGAATGGTCCTTACAAAATTCGAAAACTTAGGAAACGGCGAGCATGTCACCATCTTCATGGGTTTCATAAAGCTTTTTATAAGGCTTTCAAACAACTAGGAACGGCTTTTGGACCTGATCAGCAACGGCTTCGTGTCATTTTCTGCGAGAGATCGAGGCAAATTAGCTCGCCGAATTTGGTACTGGGCCGTTAGCATGGAGGATTTTCAGCCAGTTTGAGATTTTTGAGTCTTTATCGTGTTTCTAAGAATTTTTTATCGCAAAAAGTTATAAAATTTTTCGAAAATCTTATATTTTTATTACCTTTTTACATCTAAACTATGCCAAATGCCATAAAAATCGTTACCAATTCTTGCCTAGGGTCGTGCAAGATTACTGGGAAAATCTGGATCCCCCCCTGCTAGAAGTCCAGTACCCCAAATTTAAGCAGCCACTTTGCAAAAATTTCGAGATTACAGGCTTGAGAGGGGCGATTCTATTGGCATGAACCAATTTTCCTCATTTTTCATCGCTTATAAAAGCAAAATTTTCAAAAAAAACGTGAATTTGAAACGGATCTAAAATTTTCCATTTCCTGGGCTTGCGTAAGGACCATAACGATTCCGAGATGACCGTCCTCTAACGAGAGGGAGTGTTTCTCGGAAACACCCTGTCAAACTCACAAAACTGGTCGGGCTTTCCAATGGAGATCAGCGACTTGTGCGGCAGCTCCGTCTTCACGCCCACCGTCAAGCGCCGCTGGTTGACAAAGGTGCCGTTGCGGCTGAAGTCTTCGATGAGCGTCTTGTTGTTGCTCGCGCTCTAAAATAAGAATTACCACCTAGAGAACAAAACAAACCCGATACAGGATGAAATGGGTGCGGCTGATCAAGTTCATCGTGCCCTTGACGCACTTGTTGTAGAGCCCAAACTCGTAGATCTGATGCTCCTTGGCTAAAAGGAAGATTGCTTTCAGACATTAAAAATTCCTTACCCAGATTTTGGTCGAGAATGCGTCCGAATATCACTTTAGGGTTGCGCAATTCTGAAAAAAAGATAAATATAATTTTGAGCCAAAATTACCGATTGTTTCGGCCAAGTACTCGTTGACGCTCTTGAGCTTGGCGTAGATGGGCGACTCTGTGGGTGATGGCAGCAGCGTGTCCGAGGACTCGTTGACAATGTCGGTGCCGTTTTCGCTGCGCGGCGGCTTGTTCTAAAAAAATATATCCGAATTAGAAAAACCGTTTATTTCGCCTGGGGGAACCAACTTTTTTCTATAAGTCCAGAAATCCCTAGTTATGTAATAGTAAGTGTTTTAATAGATTTTTTAGCAAAATTTAACTATATTATAGGGGAAAAATAATAAAAAAACGAAAATAAACATGTTTTAGGCGACATTTTGGTCCAAAAAAAGCTATTTTGCTTATTTTTACCTACAAAGTTGTAAAGTTTTACGCTTAGCAATATTAAAAAAAAGTTTAGAAACACTTTTTACGTCGTTACTAGAAAAATTGGATCCTTAGAAAACAGTTGGTCCCCCCGATAATGCGAAAGAACCAAAAAAAATACATAGTCGAATTAGAAAAAGCCATACCTCTTTGTGCTCGCCTTTGTCGCGCTTGGTGCGAGTAGCTTTGGGCATCGCTGCCTGAAACTGGATCGTTAGAAAATTATTGAGAACGAGAGATGGAGAGCAATAAAATGAATTGGGCTAAGCAGAACGAGAAAAATACAAAACCAAATTCAGGTGCCCGCGTGCGTGCAGTCAATCGATTTCCCCTACACTCCGGTGCGCCGAATTCCGATCGAAGGCGAGGAGACGAAGAAATCAAAAAATATGGTAAGAAGCAAAAACTACAGCGAAATAATCCCTTTCTAGACCGAGATCATCGGCAGCATTTCGGGAGTGTCACGGATCAGCCCCGAAGACGACTACACAGCCTTTGAAAAGTCTGACAAAATCCGCGGCCGAATGAGCATCATGCCGCCTCGGATGGAGTTTGACGATGTGCCGGTGAGCAAAAGTATGCTGCAGGAAACCTGAGCTTCAGGTCCGCCTCCCGAAAATCGCCAAGCTGCAAGTGCTGTCGCTGATCCGGAAGCTGGAGGCGGCGATGAAGCGTGAGAAGACGATCTACGACCTTGCCTACGCCATGCGGAAGATGCCCAAGTCGACGAACATGCTGTTGGACAGTTTGGTAGGCAAAAAAGGAGGATATGTGGCTGTCGCAATCCCTTCAGGAGCACTAATAGTAAGATTTTAGAGTTCTAGACTAAAGCAAAATCAGGCAAAAAATCATGCGGGTTTTCTGTAAGGTAGAAATGGGTTTAAACTTGTAATTTGTAGACTCCCGCAGCGAAATCTTTCTAAAATCTATATTTTTTTGCTACTACGAATGCAACGAAAATTAAAATGAAATTGCAAGAGGGTCTAGAAAAAAAAACAAAACAATTTTACGAAGCTTTCGCTGCGGGAGCCTGGAACAATT